CAATTTACCCTTTACCTAATTCATCTATAGATACTCTATATATGCAACATGAAGGAAAATGTATGAAATCAAACCCTGGTCAAATCTTTGACCATATTGTTTCTCTTGCATTCTTATTATATTTATCATGACTCTGAATTGATTTTTGGAGTGAAAAATATGATCAAACCACCTATTTGGACAGCTGCCATTGCAAGTTTATGGTATTACTTGTTTGTGTTTAGAGATTGATGGGCATGGAGTGTGATTTTGAAATCAACAAATTTTATTGTAAACTAAATAAGTTATTAATTAGGTAAATTTAATGATTTAACAGATTAATGTTGTCATAAATAAACTTCCACTAGAAAACACAATCAAGATGGATAACAAAACTGTAAATACCAATCTTTTCGTTATGGGAAAACATGGATGGTCAATTTTCACCAACAAATTTTGACCAAAAATCACGAAGAAACGTCAACAACCAATGAAATAAATGTAATTTCCTAAAATATAGCATATAAGTAAAATAATTTATAAGAAAGGATTAAAAGTTGGCGACTGAAAAATACAATTTTGAAGGAGCGAAATGAATTATCTAGAGGATCTAATTATTACTGGCTAATTGTGCAATTTTTATTTTATTTTATTTAAAAAAAAAACTCTATTAACGAGCATTAATCATAATCGTCCAAAATCACATCAGTAAACTCCAACCACTAGACTTCAGCCACTTTCTTGCTACTAAACTAAAGTCTTAATTTATATTATCTTTTGCTTTTAAATTTAACCAAATAAAAACGATTGGTGATACGTATCGACATATAATCATACATCAAAAAATGAAGCTATTTAGAGTCAACAACATATTTATCAAAGTCACAACGATGATATAAATAGCTTAAACTAGTGATAGACGACGTTTTGGGTTGTTGACTCTGATCGGGTTAATAGCTCAAATAGTCACTGAATTTTGTAAAATATTTTTACGGAGTTATTGAACTTTACAAATCATTCAAAACATCACTGAACTTTACAAAATGTTAACGTGGGGTCATTGAGGTTTAAAAATCACTTCATTCATCACTAAACTTTACAAAAGATTTTTACAGGTTCACTGAACTTTGCAAAAGGGTTCCTAGTGAATCACTTAATTAGTGATCTCGTGAGAAATTTTTTGGAAAGTTTAGTGATGAATGAGATGATTTTTAAAGTTCAGTGGTTCCGTGAAAATCTTTTATAAAGTTCAGTGATGATTTGATCGATTTTTAAAGTTTAATGATTTCGTGAAAATTTTTTGCAAAATTCAGTGACCATTTGAGTTATTAACTCTAACCTTTTGATTTAGATTTAACATCATAACAATTTTGACATTAGATAAATAAATAAGAAAAAGAAAAGTAATGAAAATAAAAATGCGAAACAGCCGTCCCACTTCCCAAACCCAAAGCTTGCGTGAGTAATCAAGTCAAGTTTAACAATCATTAATTAACTCTTTCTTTCTCCGATTCATTTTCAATCATACATTTTTACAATAAAATACTCTGAAAATAAACCTAAATTTTATTTTTTTTTACTTTTTAATCATACAACCAATATTCGAGCATCAGATGCGACGACGCAAAAATAACCCACGCCATACTCCCATTAAAAGAAAAAACTCATTTTAATAGTTATCGAAGGGGGCTAAGAGTCCTGTTTAACTGTTGTTGATTGACATCCATTTATCATTAGCCATTATCCTATTAACAAATGTAATCATGCGTACCAAATTTGTGGAAATAAGTGATATTTCTAGAAACTTCACGGGAAAATGTTTGCAAGATTTCACTGCATGTAGACTTCCAATTGGTTGTTTATCAAGGTTAATGATGGCATTTTTGACCCACGAAAATGCTTTGAATATTTAAATAAACCAATTACGATTAATGACATTAACAATTGTCGTCTACTATAAGTTGGTCAATGGAAACTAGTCAAATGGAGCGTTGATCGTGTTAGAATCAAATTCTTTAAGTAAGATAAAATTTAATTGAAATGAAGTCGGCACATGTGGATTTTCAATTGGAAAATGATGTGTAAGTTAGTTTACAAGTCGACGCAAGTTTCGTGATTTTTTTTATTTATTTTATTTTAGAAGGGAGAAAGGTCAGCTTAAAATACGACAACTTCGTCGTCGCTGACCGAAAGCTAATCACCTCAAAACCTAACCTAATCCACCGACCGTTTGGAAACTCGAGCTTCTTCTCAAGTTTTGAGATGATTAGCTTTCGATCAGCGACGACGAAGTTGTCGTATTTTAAGCTGACCTTTCTCCCTTCTAAAACAAAACAAATAAGAAAATTCACGAAACTTGCGTCGACTTGTAAACTAACTTACACATCATTTTCCAATTGAAAATCCACATGTGCCGACTTCATTTCAATTAAATTTTATCTGACTCAGAGAAGAAGAAATAAATTAAAAACCCAGACGCTCTTTAACAAATTAAAGGTTAACTTATAAAGATTGAGCTTGTCAAATAATTAATTCGTATCTAATTCATCAAGACATCAAATGATATAATGATAGCGACAAAGTTGAAATGGTTTAATTGTTCACGTAACTCTTTGTTCGAACACATTTAAATAGGTTAATATTTTCTCATTTATAAGAGAAGTTATTTATTCTCGCAATAAAAATATTAACTTTCAAAATTAAATTATTATTGCTGAAGATAACTTTTTTCTCTTAAAAATTTATATTAAAACTTTGTGTTTACTTGCAAGTAACTTGCTCGAATAATAATTTTTTTTTCTTAACCAAAGAAGAACTACTTGCATGTGTCAAGATAATAAAATTTTACTTAAAAGTACATATTGGAATAATTACTTTTTGTCAATCATAATAAAAAAATAAATAGATTACTTATCTAGACCGTAAAAAAGTTTTAGAAATAAATCTTATTCAACTAGTGAAATAAACAATAATTTACCTTCAACCAAAGTCAAGTCAAATATATTTGGATGTTTTGGATGTGCATTGTGTCCACATTTGTTGTCACTTTTAACAAATTTTTGGACGAACAATTCAAAACTTGTTAGAATTGAGACGATAACTGAACACATAATTTAAATAGAACATCTTAAAATTGTTAAATCTTTTCAAAATAACCCTAAAAGAATTCAATCAGACAATAAAAATATATATATATTAATACCACATAAATTCATTTCAAGAATAAAGGACCAGTTAATTTTGCATTCCTTTACAGACCCTTTCCATACTTTTTTTTTGCGCACAATTTCAACCCAAAACCCACCTAACGAATTCACCAAAATTGAATCTCTTATCCAAATTTAGATCTGTATTCCCATTTTTTTGGACAATAAAAATATTTTTTCAAATACCTATTTACAATATTAAATTCAAACTCGTAAATATACCTAGACACCACGATTAATCATTTCCATATACCGTTGCAATGATTCCTGTCTCTGAATCCTCATTTCCTCATTGAATTTCTTGATGAACGCTTCAACGCGGCGATTCAACTCCTCGTGACCCACCGACAGCTCTTTTCGAACCTTCAAACTTGGACATGATCTCAATGGAGCTTTCGGAGAATCATAATTTTTTGGAGAATCATAATTTACATGATTCTTTGTCTCTGATTTGTTCACATGATTTGAATGGCTTCCAGTCATGTCGTGCTCATGATCTTTCCACATGTCTTGCTTTTTCCACTGTCTCGTCAATGGCACATGACGTCCCTCCATTATCATTTTCCATGTGCTTTCAAGCGTCTCTTGCCTTTTTGGCCTCGCCACCCTTAGTGCTTTTGTCCCTGAGAAAAGAAAAAATCAATTTTCAATTTCGTTACCAAGTAATGAGAAAATAATCAACTAATCCCCCTTCAACCGAAATCCTCAGTTTTGGATGACGTCGTATTTCCATGCGTAATAAATAGATAAAATGCTTTAATTCTCGAAGCTAGCAGATCTAAGAAAACGGGCGACGGGAATCTCTAATTGACGGCTACCCGCTACTGAAAAATAATTAAAATAAAATAATATACACCCGTTAAAATTCGGCGTACCTTCGGGACTGGATTTAAGATTTTTCCGGTGATTACCGAATCTTGAAGAAGCCAGAGGTTTCTCCCTTATCGGTAAGAGGAACGGCGGAGAACTTGTACCCTCGGGTGGAGTACTGTACGGCGAATTGGAGACAATATCCTCGTCCTCATCTTCAGCTTCTGAAACGTCGTCGTCGTTTTCCATAATCTCAGAATCGTTCACCACCACGGGCTTCATCTCGACAGCTCCATCTTCACTCTCATAAACCAAAGCCGACTGCACTGCCACTGGAGGTTCCTCCATAACAGTGCTAATATCAGTCGGAGTTGGTATTGAGGCAAATTCCAACGACGGAGGCGTTTTTACTGAAATTAAATTCTCATGAGTTTCAACGGACGGCTCAGATTCCCTGTGGTGGAAGCGAGACGCAGCAACGATGATGATGATTATTCCGTTGATGATGACATATAGATAAGGAGGCTTGAGCCAAGACAGTAAGATGGACCACAGCGCCGGGATTTCGTGAACTACACCGTGTATAATTACCGGTGCGACGAATCTTACCCCCACAGCTAGAGACACAATTCCAGCTGAAATCAAGAACAATTTCAGCGAAGCAAACCACGTGCTATTTGATTTCATAGATCCTCCCGTTAGAATCGTCAATGAATTCTTAAATCGGCGGTGAAGTTTCCGGTGAAAAAGCTATATTGTATAGGTGGGCTTGCTTTTTACAGAAATGTGCTTTCTTTAGTATAGAGGAACCAACATCGATGCATCGGGATGTGGGAGTCATATATATAGGTGGGGAATGGGGGGACGCGGTTTGTGGGCTTTGAGGAAATCTGGACCGTCGGATCGGAGACGGCTTCAGTACAGAGAGTGGAAATGCAGCTCTAATGTACTGTCGATTGGTTGACCCACGTGTAAATAAGAATACATTAAGCAAATGTAATGTTTGATTAATTAGTTATAAAGTTACTTAATTAAGCAGCATTTATCCTCAAGCATAGAGGTTTACTCATAATGAATATAATCCTTTTTGCTTGTTAATAATGAAATGAAACCGACTTTATTATTCAATATAAAGTGCGTCTTTAGTAAAGTTTGTATTCATAAACTGATTAAATATCATTTTTAGCTACATGTTTTTGTAAGATTCTCAATTATGCCCTTGTTCAGGCCCGGTTTTAAAAAAAAAAAAAATTGAATTTGCGTATAATATTATTTTATTGAAAAATATGTGATTATTTAAAACTAAATTTTTTTAAAGAGTGGGAATCAAACATGAGTTATATTTACTTTCTATTTACATAATACGGAAGATTAACACTTTGACCATAATGTTGTGGGTGAACGACTGCGTTAATTCGGTTGTCCTGGCAAATGTTTGAAGAAAGAAAAGCTAAAACGATTAATTATTCAAGAGAAATCTCAAGGAAGTCACAATTTGCCGCCAAACATGTGTTTGATGACACTTTCCATCACAAAATATACTTAGCATTTGATCATGTCTAATGTCTTGAAGCTACCAGTTTTACCATTTAAAGGTTTTGTCCGCTTGTTGGTTTTAGTTTTTATTGTCATGTTAGCTTGATTTACTCGAAGTATTGAGTCATTTTTTCAAAACAACATGCCTATATCAAAAAAATGTCTTGATTTATCGAAGAAATAGATAGGACATACCAATCTAGTCATAGAAGAGTTAAATCCACCAAGGCATCAATGGTCATCCAATTTTATATTTATTATCATTATGACTACCCAACTTTATATTTAATATTATTATGACCACCCAACTTTTTCCCACCATTTTCACCAAGGGTTCGTTTGGTTGCAAAGATGAAATTTGGGTGGAAAGAAAATGAATTTCAGGGAATTGAATTACCTAGAAATTATTTTCCTGGAAATTTTCAATTAATAGTGTTTGATTGATATAATTTTCCACCTTAAAAATGTGGAAATAAAAGTGTCTTTTGATATTCGTTTGGCTTAATTTTTCATGAAAATTGTCAATTTAAGGTATATCCTATTTTATAATTGTTCCTAGAACTTGTTTCCATTGCAAAAAAAAAAAAAACTATCTATCTTTTGGTGTTCGTTTGTCTTAGTTTTACATGAAATTTGTTAATTTAAGGAATATCCTATTTTATAATTGTTCTTAGAAATTGTTTCAATTGTAAAAAAGGGAGGGGGAGGGGGGCGGGGGGAAGAGCTAGAATTGTAATTCCCACCATTTTGGTGGGAATTGCTTTTCATCAAAAAACAAGAAAATGCTTATGTGGCATGGGTTTATGGAAAATCTTATCCAATGAAAATTTCTACCATCAAATATGTCAAAAAGTGAGAAATGGAATTTTATTTTATTTTCCATGGAAAATGGAGGCATATAAAACAGGGCCTAATTTTAAAAGAGATAAAATTGTAACTTTGCTTTATATATATATAAAATAAATTTTAAAAAGCAAAAATAAAAGTTTTCTTTAATTTTAAAAACCTTTTCTAAAATAACATTTATTTTATTTTTCTAAGTAAAGTTTTCTTTAAATAAGTTTTTATTTTTTAAAAAAATTTATTTTGTGTATATATAATGCAAAGTTATTATTTTACCTCTTTTAATATTAGTGAAAATGGTAAAATGAAGTTGGACACCATGGTGAAATGATATTAAAAAATTGGGAGGCCGCAATGAATGTGATATCAAATTGGATGGTCATGATGAAATAAAATAAAATTGAATGTTTATGGTGAAATAAAATCAAATTGAACGATCATGATAATATTAAATATAAAGTTAGGTGATCATTGATAGATTTAACCGTATATTCATAGATCATGTCAAAATCAGACGAGGGAAGAAGATTATGATAAGTTAACAACTAACTAATAATACCCTGCATGTTTGCCTATACTCCAAAAATGATATTTACCACATAATTTTTGTTAGTCATATATATAAAACCTCGTTTGATATTTATTTTTTTCAAAATATATTTTTCTCTCTCTTCTTTTTAACCACACATTTTTCATTAAAATAATATTATATGTAAATCAAAAATTTTTCTTTATTTTTTAACTACACATTTCTCATCAATTTACTATTCTAAAATACATTTTTATATAAAAATGGCTGCAAGCAACACATCCTCATCCAATTGTCCACTATGTATGGGACCCTTTTCTTATCTAATCTTCGTGTAACTTAACACTGCCATACATTGAATCGTACTTATCCTCGTGTCCATTTTTCATGATTTTTGAAAAGTCAAGTTTTGTTTACAAAAAAAAAAAAAAAAAAAAAAAATTACTTTGAATGTATTTTGGAGTGCTTTATGCTTCTTCTGTAGATCTTCTCAAGAAAGTTGAAACAAAATCAAAAGTCATACGAAATTGGGCATTTAGTCATACGTTCTGTTTCATGCTTTGTATTGGATAAAAGGTATCGGCTTCAATTGTTTTTGTATTATTTATAAGGAAAAAAATACATAACTACTATAATTCTATAATACAATTTCAAAATTAACAAACTTGTTAAATTTTTCAAAGAAGGTGATACGTTACAGTGGCCTCCGATAAATGTTGTGGCCTATAAATTAAAATTACAACAAATCATTGTCAGATGTTAAGTAACAAACCATGCAAAATCATGGTCACACAATTAATGAATTATAGTCACATACTAGAAATCTATAGGTAACAAATCATTTATTAGATTTTGACAAGTCATGTAGCTATTTTTGCTTCTTCCATGGGGCTCTTCTTCTTCCTCCAAATTTGATGTAAAATGGGGAAATGTTTAGATCCATTTAGGTTGGACTCTTGAGCTAGTGAGTACCATGGTTGGAAGTTTCATCTGAGGGAATTTCTTCAGATGCTAGTTTCTAGCTCTTATTCAGTGTCATTCACAGGCTCGAATCTTGTGTTTGGTGTTGCGATGGTAGTGTCAGGGACAATTTCTTTGTCATCGTTGAAATGGAGGGCGTCAGCGTAGCAATGTCATCCATATTTTTGTCGACTATAGAGACACGTTAAGTGTGTTGTAGTGTGACTTTTGAAATAATAGTAGATGATTAATGAAATTAAATTTTAAAAAGCTGGTTTAAGGTAAATTTCTCTTTATAATATTTTTGGATTTGAAAAGGCACGGTTCGTGGGCTTTTATCAACCTTTTCCGTTACTTCTTCGTCTATTTATGTCACTTTTGACGAGATTGAGTTGTCCGTAAGTATTTTTTAAACTTGCAGACATTTTTTAATAAATTATGTTGGACGAGCTTGTTGTACCATTTTTTTCTAAATAGTCTAATATGTTAGTAGACTTTGAGCCTTTGACAAACTATCGTTGATTCGATAACAAGCAAAACGTGTACGTTGTTGATTTGTCAGCTAGTTTTGTTTTATTTGAATTAAAATTTTAAATCAAATTCAATAATTAATTTTTATCATATATATATCATTAAATTCACAACTTTTCAATTATACATTTCATTAATTTTTATCAAAATACACTAAAATTTCGATTTTAATTAACAACAAACAGGGGCCTAAAGTTCTCAAAAACTATAAAGAAACCAAATTACTCACGTAATCAATTTGGTAGGACCAAAGAGGTTATACTAAAAAATTTATTTAAGTGAAAAAGTTAAACGAATTCAATTTCCCTTTAAAGTATTTTGTATGGATTTTCATTTGAGAAAAGCCTTTTCAATTTCAGCTGCTACACCAAAAAGGGAGAAAATCGTCGGTGAGGGGATAAACTCCCCAGGCTGTAACCCGGACCCATGCGGACCGGGCTTCAGGATCCAGATACAAGCCTCCGTGGTGCTGGTCACTTAAAATGACCGTTATGATTATTGAGTGGTTTATCTAAATTGAGTATATGTGTGTGTTTGTAAAATTCCTGTGCTCTTTAAGACAAGGGTCGAGAGAGCATTGATCTCTGGAGAGTCCGGCGGGACGCGATAAAGATAGCATTTATAATAAGATAGTAAGAACACGTTAGATATCATACAATGAAAAAATTATGAGCCTGTTTGGGAGTGATTTTGAGAATTGATTTTTTGACCGTTAGGAGAAAAGTGGGGTCCACCTATGAGAGAAGAAGTAAAAAATGACGGCTAGAATAGTGAAATAACGGTCAAAAAATCAATTATTTGGATGAAAAATCAGGCCCAAACAGGCTCTATATTTGTATTATTCAATTTAACATACTAAATATGTATGCATGCATTTTCATTGAAATTCCAATTGGGTCGTGAAAATTATTTTTCTTTCTTTCTTAATTTTTTTATTTGTTATTATTATTATTTTTTTTTTGTGTTTATTCATTTTATGAATCTACTATATATGTTTCAACTTTCACCTGTTGTTCTTATTCACATGATTAATAACGGATCTTTTGCACAGAATGTACCATGGGGATAGACCTAAGTGTACGTTTTTGAAAAGATTGGGACCCAAGGTGAAATTCTCCTGTCTTTTCATTCACTTCGCTTGACTGATTACAAGTTACTCGAATCTAGAAAGGGCGAATTACGGAGATGGTATATGAGGTTTCTGACAATTTAAGAGATCTGCCATCACTTTTAAAAATTACACAAACCTCCTTTATTTTCAAATTTGAATAATGCATATCTTCGCAAGGTTTATCGGTTTCAAAGACATTCATGCCTTTCAAAAAATTACACAAAGCTACCTTATTTCAAAGTTTGAATGACGCATACCTCCCTGAAATTTGAATAACACGTATCTTTCTAAAATTTATAACGATTTCAAATAGATCGCTATCTTTTAAAAAATTAAACAAACTTGTCCTATTTTTAATTTAACTTACTCATACCTCCTTGATATTTGTAACAATTTCATAAACATCCCTCTATTTTTTGAAATTGCACAAACCATCCTTAATTCCATGTTTTGAATATCACATACCCCCATTGACCACTTTTCTTGCACACGTTAACATGATATTGGTAATGCTTAAAATATGTATGCGATTTTTTATTTTATTTTTTGCATCTTGCGTCTCCTTTAACAATAATGTAACTTAAAAAAATCCTTTCAACACTTCTACCTACAAATCAACAACAAAGTATTATTTAAACTCTTTATTTTCAAAGTAATCAACAAATACACTGATTTGAGATACTCAAAAGCAGGTATTCGTCAACGATGAAAACCGTTGAACTTAAGACTCGAGTTGAGAAAGAGGGCTAGACCCCCAGGAGGGCTTTCAATACATTTATATATGGCAAAGTAATGAACAGTGCACGGTCATAATAGTATCCTAATAGAAATAAAACAATAGACATCTCATTTTTTACTATAAATCAATGACTCTCTACAAAAATATAAAAATACTTAAGAAGTAAGATAATATGTAGTATTTATTTATTTAAACTCCACTTATCTATCATTCAACACCTTCATTTTATAAAACATAAAGGATACAAATTATTTATAAATTTGGAAAATGAATTTATTTTATCTATCACCTTCAAAGAAAAAAGCATTTCGATTACAATTATCAAATTTCTGGGTACTCATTTGAGATGAAATCACAACTAGAATCCCTCCATATTATATTCTACAATATAGTTATTCAAATAAAAATATTGAAGCATTTTTGAAAAAAATAATAGTCTAAGAAATAATTTTTGTTTATTCAGTGAAAAGCATTAAAACGGTTTTTTAGATATCGCATTATTATTAAAGGACCCGTAAAATTCCCACTATTTCATTCATAAACATTCCCACTATTTTATTTACATGCCCTAATTAAAATTCTACTTGAAGAAATTTTGGTTAATACTGGCACATCAACAAGTTATGTTTAAATAAACAAATGGTATGAAATTAATGTTATCTTAAACTATAATTCGTCAATTGAATTTGGTTTATATTACAACATCGGTTAGTTATTTGTAGTCATGCTGAAAAAGACACTAGGTAATCTTAAAAGCTTGAAAATACGTAAAACCTTGCTTAAAGGGCATGTCTTGGAAAAGGGAAAATCATTTTTCTTTATGATAGAACATAATTTATTGGGTCTAAGCCCCTGCGACAGAAAACTTTTGAGAGAGACGGGGACAGCCTCTCACGTGCCGTAGGTCCAGTCTAAACTAAAAGTTAAAAAAAAAAATAGTGAGCCCCCCTGTGTAACTGTGTTGTGAGTGTCGGTCGTCCTGTATGTCAAAGATTTTCTGTCACTGTAACACAGTCCAATATACCCGTTAATACAACTTTCATTATTGTTGAAGCTAAAATAATAATTTATTTTCTCTATTTAATAATTTAAAATTTGTAAATAACACGATTTAATCTTTAAATGGTACTAGTCCTATATTTCAAGAAGTTTGAATAGTCGTCGTTCTAAGTTGAAGAATATTCTTCACTCCATTTTTCAAGGGAAGACAGCAAATCATCATCAGTGCCCATCAAAATTTAAAGAGCTCATGAGCCACAGAATAATAAAAAATAATAAAATAATTATTATTATAACATTTTTTTCAGGATCGGTGGGGACAAGGCGACCGGCCATTTTCCCCCCACTGAAAAAGGGTTCTCTTTCCTTGATGGAAATTGGACTGTGCTACAGAGCTCGGATTTAAATTCCGGGCTCCAATCCAAGGCCGAGGTGGAAATACCTCGATCGTTGATCTTCTGCGCTTGGGGGGTCCGCCATCAAAATCGCTAACAGAGCATTTTCCATGGAAATTCATTTAAAGCCGACGAAAAGTGAAACTGAAATCTTTTATTTCCTTTTTAGTGAAATCAAAGCAATTTTTAGATGAGCATTCCATCCTTCACCATTTAAGTCAGAAAATTTATCACACTGTTAGGCATCAAATACTATTCTAATACCGGATTTTCTCTATGTATGAGTGCCGTTTCGTGCAAGTATATTGAACTATTCATTTTGCAAATTAAAGACGTAAATTTAATATTTGACTTAAACATCATCAAATCTTGTTGATTCCAATATATTCGTAGGCACAATCATGGGAGGAAATTTTTATTTTATTATTATTATCTGCATAATAATAATAATAATAATAATAATAATAATAATAATAATAATAATAATAATAATAATAATAATAATGCGCGCCAAATTATCGTTGTAAAGTAGATTCTCCTCTTACGAATCCTTGTCTACAAGCTTCAAAAGTGGCCCTATTAGTAATTTTTTTTGTCTAAAAGGTTCGTTAAATAATCTTTTAAAATGACACATCTTTTATTCCTTTTTTTTTTCATTCAAATTAAAGGCTTTGATTATAACATCTTTGGTCCTACCCCCATTAATTTATTATGCACCAGATTCTTTCTTTTATCTCAAGGAAGAAATTAATTGAGTTCTCAACTGTAATTTGATCAAATTTTTATATTATTTTCAGAACTTTTAAGGCAAATCTTAAGTTGTGAAGAACATCCACATTTTTGTAATTTCAAATTAATGGCAGTTAACAAAAGACTCAGTCCAAAAGTAAACAAGCTCGCCCAATATGTTGACCAACCTCGTCTTGAAATTTAAACGTTTCAAAACTTAGTGACAATGAAATCTTAAATATATTAAAAAAAATTAAATTGGAAAAGAAAAGGAACCTTGCTGGATGGTTCTTGATAAATGGTAGCCCATAACTTTTTTTAATCCAAAAATACATAAATAAAAAGAAAATAATTGAAGCCCATGCCTAAATCTGATACAGTATATGAAAAACGAAACCTTTGGACTCATATATTAAATACTGTATGGCAGTGTTAAGATGCAACAAAATTTGGATAAGTGTAGGGTCCCACAGAGATAAGGATAAATCATAAATGAATGAGATACATATTAAATAAGTCGTTTAATTGATTAAAGTTAAAAATAAGCGAGCATTAATCTTAAGACATATCTATTATGTTTTCTCTTCTTGTTTCAAGAATGAAACGAGGTCGTCTGAACACCTGTGATGTGTTAATAAAATTTCTCTTTTTCCAATCAAAATTCAACTTTGAAATGGTAGAGGAAACTAGAAAAATAATAATAAATAAAAAAAAATATCTTTTTACGTAAAAAATTAAAATTCAACTTTGAAATAGTAGAGAGCAAGAAAACAGCATGAAAAGCATATTCATTTTTCTCGTACTTTCCATTTGAGTTTTTTATTTTTACTTTGCTTCGCATAAATCCGCCTTTTTTTACTCTTCTTTTCTTTTTCATTTTTTCCCAATTCAAGTTCAACTTTCAATAGTAGTCAGTAGAGGTAGCTAGAAAATAACGTAAAAAGGGTAAAATGGACTAATGACCACTATACTCTTTTACAAGGGTAATTAATACATAACGGATATATCTTTCAATATTATTATGTAAAACATCTCTCTCTCTCTCCCCCTCTTTTAACATTTTTACCTTTAATTACATATTTGATTGTGCAAAACGTCCTTCCGTTCATTTTCATCGTTAAGTGAAGGTCTGTATAGTCAATTTAATTTTTAAAATGGAACAGTACTATGGTCAGAAAATTTTCTTTCTTTCGACAAATGTGAAGTGCAAAGTTTTCCCATTTCCTTCTGAAATCATTTCCCCTTTCTTTCCTTTTCTTTCACTGACATTCTCCCTTTATCCTTGAGAAAAACCATTAGTACACCATTGTGTAAAACCCCCTCACATGTTGAGGGGACCCACATGAATTAAAAAATTGTAAATCCTCATTGTGAGGAGATCGTAAGAGCGTACGCCAAGTAAAATTATTTATTCTTTCCTCTCATCTCTTTCTGTGGAAGCACGCAGTGGAGGTAAATTGTCATGTTACCATTTGTAAGAAACAGTACATAGTTATCCAATATGTACAGCAAAAATTTGGTGTGCCTTTTGTTCAGACTACTTATCTTTTGGGGTTTCCATGTCATCAACGTGAATTTATTAAGCGCACACACTTCATATCATGTTTATTTTTCGGTTCAATCACTCCAACTTTTATTCGAAAATTATATTGGCACCAAAAATCAATTTTAATCTACAAATAAGCATTAAGCACAGGTTCTTGAAACTCATAGCATGCGATTTTTCAAAGAGCTACGAGTGTCACTCAAAATATGAAACACCAAGTTTTGTTTCGATTAATTGTCAAATATAAACTCAACTGTCTAAGGTAGCATCAATCCACACAGAAACTATACAAGCATGTACACATTTTCTACATACACATTTAACCTCGTTCCATTTCCCATAAAATAGCTTCAAACCCTGCCACATAATAAAGCCAGGCGGTTTCTCATCATAAGCCAAATAACATCATTTGAGTTTCTAAATCTAGGTCTCCACAGATTATTTCTTGCTTCCACATGAAATCCAGAGCGTTAACTAATAGCCACCCGAAGACCATCCCCCAGACGATAGTAGTTAGTTACCTCAGATGGGTATCATAAGTATCAAAAAGGGTATCTGGAACAACAAGGGGCAATTTCTCTATATACATGAACAGCCTCCTCAGATTTTCCATCGTTATAGTCACCATATCTATCACATCTCTGCCATCCATAAATACCCATAGATCACCAGAGTTTACCCTCTTTAAGCTATCCCGGCAAAACGGACACGATTTTGATCTCGTACGCCTGCACCAAGCATATCAATCATATCAATCGTGTTAATACTTTTTCAAATTTCATCTCAGGAGAATAAATACACAATGGTCCATTACATAATGCCAAGTATAAAGGTTTGTATCGACATCACATAGTGTAAGCATCCCTACATGTCTGCTAAAACCTGGATAATACGACCTTGGGCAAAAAGCTGCCTCATCCAACCCAGCAGGGAGATCAGAACAGGACAGCTACCGGCTGTACTGGAGCATGTTCGTCTAATATTAAAGTAAATATTTATGTCAAAGAATGATTGGACAAGTTACTTCTTCCTTACTTTCAAGTTAAAAAATTACTGCATATGGAAGTAACTCTTATTTTATTTTCAAAATAATAATGTATTTCCAATTTTAACCAATAAAAAATTGTTTATTTTAAAACCTACTTAATTACTTGAAAGGAACCTTACCCAAACAAGGAGACAGAAACTGGGAAGGACATATAATAATGGCACTCAAGCTTTCAAAGAAACAGAGAAAATGTGATCAAGATTTGAAGCCCAAATACAAAAGGCTAAAGTGGTATGCAATGGAATTGTCCCAATATCCACAGGCGGAGGTGTATATATAAAAGCAACTCATACGTTTAGAGCGCCATTTTGAAGCAACAGAAGACAAATTCAACACTATTTGTGCAATTTCAAATTTTCACTTGACAGATATATCAACCTCCTATTTCCCTCTCTGCAGAAAGAGGACCTATTTTCATAGAAACCTCATCCCTCAGAAACAGTGACAAACAAATTACAAGCAAAATCAAGACACCGCCACCCCCCAAACCACCACCCCAAAGAAGAAGAAGAAAAGAAAAATATACATTTATAGACCAAAAAAAAAAAAAAGTATTTTCGCAAATAAATTTAAACCACCATTTCTTGCAGTTCATTGCTTTTCGATATATCAAACTCAACTTAAACCTTTTCCACTGCAAAAGGTAATGTTAATTTTAGTCTAACTCTCCCTCTTAGCTTGCTCACTGACTTGCATGGCTTTTGGAACATGACTAGATGAGCTTCTTTAAGACATGGCACAGATACCTTCCTCCCCTTCATTTATCCATTTTCATTTCTTATCCTTGTAGTGCATTCACATTTTATCTCAATATCTTCTTGCAATAAGATGTGACAAAGTCCCGTGTTGTTTATCAACTTAGAGCAATCCTTATCCTCTTTTATTTGGGCTGGGGACTAGCTATGTGCATAAAATAGCAGAAGAAAAAAACATATATAACACCACAAACTTTGAGAATCTTTTTAAGCAACCTTGAAAATAAAAAGATAAAACGGCAACACTTTTCTTCGTTGAAATTGTGCAATCCATCCCTAGCCTGTTTGTTTAGATGCCACCATCCATCAGGCACAACACAAGACTCCTTCACTCCCTCTCCCTCCACCTCCTCACCCATCAAAAGTAACAGTAAACCCCCCCCCCCCAACCAAAAAATAAAAATAAAAATAAAACTTAAAAAAGTTAAAAATCCCAGAGAAAGTATTCCACCACCATCTTTAATTTATTTCTTCCTAGTACAAATCCGCATGATACTAAAATCAGCGAGCACATGTGCATTTTATATTTCTCCACTTTCAATTCACACATAAAACCTGAAGAAATAGGCCTCATACCCCACTATGAACCATTTTAAAAGCACAAAGGGGAAGAAGCATGATGTCCTCACATTGAAAATTGACATTATACCTACATCATGAACACATTGGTGAAAAATAGTTGTATCCTTGAAATTTTACTTGAGGCTGAGGAAGTAACATAGCCCTTGTTTGAGACCCATTCTATCAAAAAATGCATTTTTGAATAATGTATTGATAGGAAATGTATGGTTTCAAAAATAAAGAAAAGTCATGAATTTGAGTGTAATATTATTTTATTGAAGAATGTATGGTTGAATTGGGACCAAATCAATGATGAAGAATGTACTTAGATGGAAAAAATGGGGCTCAAGCAAGGGCAAAATAATGAGAACGATTCCAGGAAGCGTCCATATATTCCATTTGCCTCTCCAGCGTTAGGTGTAAATCTCACTTGGCAACAAAGGAAAGTGCAATTACAGCAGAAGATGAAAAGTAAATTTGATGGTATGACGGTCTAGATACTGCTTTGGGAACCAACATAGAAAGTACAATTGCGAGTCCTTGGTCAAGAGGGATCTAACCAAGAAGGAAAAAAATTACAAAAGAATTCCCCCCATATATATAGTTGGAAATGAACTCTCCTCCTGAGCGGAAATTGTCGTGTTTCCTTCCCAGTTAATCAAGTGTACTAAGCCGAATCATATATCACATCCATAGAGACCATTAATGAATTAAAAATTTAATATATATACTTGGGAAGTAAAAACTAGATTTGCTATTTTAAATACAAATTAAAAAGAGAGGAAGCAGAGATAGAGACATATAGTACCATTCTCGATAGCATTTCAGGCACATGGCATGGTTACAGTTTGGCAGGACAATCTTACTGTTTGTCTCCATGCAAATCCCACATTCTTCTTCCCTTTCAATATCTAATTCCGTGCATTGCCTGTATTCTTCTTCATCTCTTCTTCTGTATCTCTCCAAGCATACAGCTTTCTGTTTTTTATCTTCTGAATCCGTGACCCCTTTTTGAAGTTGCATTAAAGAGGGATAAATAACAGCTGATCACAAGATACATCAAAATATAAGATGCAGCAGAAAATGCTAGTTCCAAGCTTGGTGTCCTTGAGACTGTAAAATCAGTAAACAACTGCAGAACTCACCATAAAATTCTCTAATGCTTGCTTTTCTCTCATGCATGGACATAGTTGTGGTGCCATCAACATAAACCTGTGTGATAAATCATTATGTTCAATTGCTTGCAATGATTGAGAGCAAAACTTATGCAGGAAAACGAGCATCAACGGACAAGTACCAACCTTGTATATTAGGACTCGCAACAGTCCAAGAGCTCCTGCAAGGTGGCAGTCAGTCCATTGTACAAGAAAAAGGAAAAAATGTGCTGCTGGACTGTATGAGATTCTCATCTGTAGGCATGCACCATCATACTCCCTTGGAAAATCCGATGCCCTGCAATAACAATAACAGGTTCAAGTTACGACAATGGGAAAAGTTCAAGAGAAATGATCGAGCCAGCTGATTATACAAACAACTACCCCAGTGCATAGCAAGCTGATGTAATAATTACCAATAAAAGAATACAGAGATAAAGTTGAAGCTGCTAGTAAATCAAATAACATAACCAACAGTTCTAATAATAATAATAATCTCTTCCAAAAGAGAGTTCCCTTTTTGTAATCTCATTGCCTTAACAATCATTTGAATTTTGACACGCTCAGGTAATTTTTTTGTGAATTTCTCTTTTAATATTGTTTCCTGTTAACTGTCATAAGGAAATTCAACTAAGATGTAATGTTACAAATTTGCCATAAAAAATAAAGGGAAACTTTAAAAGCCAAACTCCCAGTTGAATATAGAAAAGATACCTTTATCCCAAATTGAAGTAACCACTAAAGTACTCCAAAAACCATCATCATTTGCAGAACTTCCTAATCAAGTGCACTACTAGATCTTTATATTATTTTCTAAAAATTATTAATTATGTTTGTTTCCACTAATTTGATAACCACTAGTCAGTAAAGTACGAAACACAATATTAAAGATATAGGAATTCAAGATAAAGTATTACTGATTCTGGGAAATTAAAACAAAACATAGAATAGAAGTAAATAATTTTACGATCATAAAAAACCCCTTTCAAAAATCTCTAACAAAAAATAAATAAAAAGGAAAAATAGGTTAGATAGAGAGAGATAAAATTACTTACAGGGTATTTGCGTGCTGAATATCTGCTTCGAGAACCTTGAGAGAATCCTTGAAAGAATTCCGCTTTGGAGCTCCGCCGCCTCCTATGTACATCTCTCAACCACTCTTTTTACCAATAAAATTTAATTTATTTTCTTTGGAGAATCAAACACTCATCACTGTGCCCCAAAACAAATTTTCATAATTTGTTGATACAGAGAAATTAAAAATCGAGATCAAAACCCTCAATTTTCCTCTCTCTCTCTAGAAACGTAAAAGAAGACTAACAACTGACTGAGTAGAGAACTTTGGATGAATCTCTTTCTGTTTTCTCCTCTTCACTCTTCAATTTCAAAGCGGATTGAGAAAAAGAAACGGACACGTGGATGGGAGTTGATGACACACACTGTTAGAGCCAAGGGCAATTTTTTTTATTATTTTTTTGCGGTAGTCATTTTTAATTATATATTTTTTATTAAAATATTATTATACGTAAATTAAAAATATTTCTTTCTCTTCAACGATGCATTTTCAGTCAATTTACTACTTCATAATACATTACAAAAAAATTAATGGGATTCAAACAGGCTATAATATAATTATTTTAGTTATATTATTTTTAATATTTTAATTGGGATAAAGATAAAGTGAATAAATAATAAATATATTCCAGTAGAGTCAAATTTATGTGACGCTCTTATCCAAAAATAATCTCCCCATAATTGCTCTCTGTATATTATAGTGTTTACATTGTTTCTTTGTGTCTGCCACTTTCTTCATTTAGTGCATTCGATGCGGTAGCTTTCGGTCCACGAAGCGCCACGGTGATATTTACGATTCCACTTGCTTTATTGTTGCCCGTGTATTTTGGAAAATTGCATCTTTGGTCCCCCAATGTACCTAACATATTTCTTGACTCTCAAATTGACCCCCTAAATCTTTAGAAAAGTTCAAGTTGATCAGTTTAAAATACAATCAGTCACTAAGTAGCGATAGTAAGCGCCAAAATTGGAAACATGGGTAGCTTCCAATTTTAGAATACTCGTCCAAGATTGGAAAACAAAATATGTTAATTCATTTTCAAGAGGTTCTTTAAAAGTAAAATGCTCTTTATTTTAATGAGTACACATTTAAAATGTACTTCAAAAGACTCTTCAAACTAGCATTTGAAAATAGCGAGTGTATTTGGCTCTCCAAAATTTACTTTCTATAATTAAACGTATTCAAAATATTGCAATTTTTAATACTCCATGTAGTGATCCAACTAACTAGTATGTACAAAGAAAACAAAAAGAAATAATATAATAATTTGAAGAATAATTAGTGAGCGAAAAAAATAATAAATACTTATAGGGAGTAACTAAATATAAAGGGGCTGTTGTAGTATTTAAAAAATTTTACTCTCAAAATCTATAGATACCCTCTAAATTATAAAATATGCGATTTAAAAGTAGATAGTCTCTTAAGTATGCTCTTTTAAAGTTAAAAGCGTGAGCATCACTTAATGGTTTAACAAAAGTTTAGGTGGTTATTATCAATGAAACAAAAATTTAGATGATTTTTGTTGTTGATGATTGATTGTGTAATTGTTAACAAGCTAGGGAGTAACTTGCTCATTTCTAAAATTTGGTAACCAATTCGCTACCTTGAAATTAAGCCTTTGTCTGAGCTCCATTTTTTTCTATTATTTTTTCTACAGTATTCATTTGTAATCATACATTCTTCATTAAAATAATATTAAACGTAAATAAAAAAAAATTTCTTTTTTTTTAACCACACATTCTCTATCAATTACTATTCTATAATACATTAACGGGGCTTAAGTTTGGAATCAATAGTGTAATTTGCCTATAAATCCAAGGCATTCCATTAGTTTACAAAGGTATGTTTGATGCACATTTTTTTTTTAGAATTATTTTATGAAAAGTGATTTTTCTGAATAATGTGTAATTAAAAAGTAAGAAATAATAAGTTCATAAGCAAAATTATTTTATTGAGAGAACGTGAAGTTTAAAATGAATTTAGATATAAATGAATTTTAAAAAAATTGTATTAAATAGGAGCTAAGTAATATAAATCATTATCTAGAAAATTAGATTTAAGTAAATAAATATTTTCTAAAAATGCAAAAGAATAGTCGTAGGTAGCGAGGGCATTCAAGAGTTACATAGGCCTAATATGTCCTTCATCTTGATTTCGGAGTTGTAATATTTTGAATATAGTTGTCAACGAACTACGTAATGATAGCTCTATGTAACTCTCTCTATATATAATGTATGTATCGTTTGTTTGTGTGTGCCACGTTCGGTTTTTGGATTTGATGCGGTAGCTTTCGGTCCACGGGGCGCCTTGTTGATATTTACAATGTCCTTAACATATTTCTTGACTCGCAAATTGGCCCCTAAAACTTTAGAAGAATTCAAGTTGATCCTTAAGTTTAAAATACAATAATTCACTAAGTAGCGATAGAAAGCGTCAATTTTAGAATATTGACCCAAGATGGAAACATGAGTAGCTACCAATTTTAGAATACTAGCCAAGGTGGAAAACAAAATATAAAGTTATAAATTAGAAGCGTGGACATCACTCAATGGTTTAACAAAAATTTATATGATTTTTGTTGTTGATAACTGATTGTGTAATTGTTAACAAATTGGGAGTAACTTGCTCATTCGCTACCTGGAAATTAAGTTGGGAACCAATAGTGCAATTTGCCTATAAACCAAAGGCATTCCATTAGTGTACAAGGGCACATTCGATGTACATTTCTCTATAACGCCGTGCTTGACGTCTAGGGCCCATGTGGTCCTAGATGTGTGGTTTTATCCTTTTCTATAATAGATTTTATGAAAAAGTATTTTTCTTAATATTATATGATTAAAAAGTAAAGAAAATTTTACGAGTCCAAGTGTAAAAAAAATTTATTTGTAGATTGTGTGATTAAAAATAAATTTAGAAATAAATGAATTTTAAAAAATTGTACCAAATAGGGGCTTAGGAATATAATTTTTTATCTAGAAAATTAGATGTACGTAAAATAAATATTTTTTGAAAAATTCTAAACGTAGTGAAAAATAAATTTAAATCGTGATTTATATCTTCGAAATGATCGAAAATGTCTCCAATTGAAAATATGCAAAGGAAATGTAAATAGAAAAAGTAAAAAAAGATATAAGTTTACATATTTTTTAACATCCACAAGAGACAAAAAGGGATTTAGATTTTTTTTTTTTTCATTTGAGCAAAATTTGAATTTTAATCCATTGGGATGATAACGATGATGTAAAGGTGATTCTACGGATATCAATTCACACCCAACTTTACACTACCATTGGAGATATTCTCATGAGGCCTGAGGGCATTCAAGAGTTATGTTGACTTAGTATGTCCTTTTGTATTGATTTCCGTGTTGTAATATTTTGAATATAGTTGTCAACGAACTTGGTAATGATGGTTCTATGCAACTCTCGCGTGGCTTTTGCTAAACCTTCTTTCGTAGATTATTGATATCCAGCAAGCATACGATATCATGGTCAAGTAATAAAATAGTAAAATATTGTTCCCTCGAGTACTGAATATTTGACCTAGTTATCATTAATACTAACCATAATCAAATTGTATGAGTATTTTTGTAACTATAAACTACTCTAACAATCAATTAAGAAGTGTTTGTAGGATGATTAAAAGAAAGTACTAAGACTTAGAAATCCCTTTATTGATCCACTTTAACGTAACTCAAGATCATCACAACACTCGTTTAATTATATGATCAATGTTTCTATTTTGTTCAACAATCTTTTTCAAGTAAATTAAAACATATAATCACATGAAAGAATGTTAGGACACGTGTCGCTCATATCTTTTGTCGTGTACTTTTTTTTTTTTTTATTGTTTCCGGCTGAATACCATACTGCCTGCCCATTATTTTCAGCTATTCATCTGCTCTTCTTCTGATTGATTGTGTAAGAATACATGATTTCTGCATGGAGCTATCTTGGTTCATTCCCTAATTCATTGAGTTCTTCTCTCATTCTCTACTTTAATTGTTCCCTAATTCATTGAGTTCTTCTCTCATTCTCTACCCTAATTGTAAACTTTCTCTGGACATTTACCAAAATTTTAGCCACCTCAATTTCCTACTTCAAGGTAATGATTTTATGAAATTGGTGTAATATTGAACTCATACAACCCATTCCTCTCTTCAATTCTTATGTCTGGTCATTTCTTTTTTCCGAACTTTCAAAGAAAATTGAAGATCGGATGAATGTGAGGATAAACAAATTCATCTCATATTTAAAGGTTTCTCGCTCAAACAAATTCACTTCATTAATTATTTACCCTTGAAATTATAGACTCAACTAAAACTTCTGGATTTTGAACAATCACCATTAAACAATTTTAACAAAAGAAAATTCCCCACAACAGAGAGGAATTAGAAACATGAGCAAACACGAAAATAGTACCAAAACTTCGTCTTATTCAATTTTCCCAATGCCAAATAAATATTTTTGACAAGTAATTAAAGCAGAAAAATTCAATATTTGCTTACAACAAGTCCGAAATAGCTTTTAGTTGTTAGAGCTCATGATACTTTTCATACCTGTAATGTAATTTACCATGCAGTATAAAGGTTGGATCCTGCAGCCTGTATCTACCGTAAATTTGCCTCTTATTGCAATACTTTTGTCTAATTTTATGTATTCTTTTAATAGACATGCTTTTCTGTTAACTTGTATTATAATGTTTTTATGATTATGATTCAGGGTGTGCAAATAGAGGCATTGATTTATCACAAGCTCAAGTTAATATTTTAAAGGTACCATTTGAAATATTACTGAATAATCCTTTGGTCAATTCTGTTACTCATCAATATGTTTTTACTTTTTAAGTTAGCTAAATAAATATTTACAAGTTGACTTACAATCTAGTTGATTTAATCAGTATTTTTCTTTAACATTGACCCTATTTACTATCTCCAAATTTTTTTTGCAAAATTTTCTGCTAATATAAACTTTTTGCTTTACTTTCTAATTCTCATGATTCCGATTCTTTCTATTTTGTCGTTATTGTGGGTATGTTGAACTTTTTTGTAGAAGTACCGAGTAAGTAGGTGCTATTGGATTTAAGGGAGGAGTGAAGGAAAAGCTGATACTTTTAAGCACAAGCTGGGCAATTGGCAAATGATCCAAATGACAAATGTCAACTTTTTCTTCGTTTTCTTCTCATACTATAGGAGTTGAAATATAAGTATATGTGTTTATTCAAATTATTTCACATCATCACTGCACCAACACAGTTGTTCTATGTATTCATTCAGCAATCACTATACACTTATACTTCACATTCACCCCAAC